TAAGGACAAAGATTTCTGGTCCTTGGGGACACACAGGTGCTGGGGGGGTCATTAGCTTATTAGCAGCCTGAGGTGTTGATTAAGGCACGAACCCCACTCAGACATGAACAAGTGCCTTGCTACATTCTTCCTGCCACAGCAGCCCACCCTGGTGCCCTCCTGACTGCACCTTCATGCCCTCCCCATGCCCAGCCCCAGACCCCTCCCCATGGCACCCGTGTGCCCACCCCCTGCCCCCTTCACTGCACCCCCAGTGCCCTCCTCACGCCCAACCTCCTTGTCACAGGCACGGCCCTGGGTGGGGGCTGTCAGGGCACCCAGCACACCTCAGGGTGCAGCCCCAGGGGTGCCAGGGCCTCGCCTGACGCCTGCCCTGTGCCCCCCCAGGGTGGCCGACGAGACCCCCCCCCCGAACAAGCAGGTGAAGCCGCTGTTCCGGCACTTCCGCCGCATCGACTCGTGCCTGCAGACCCGGGTGGCATTTCGGGGCTCTGACGAGAGTGAGTGACCAGGGTGGGGGCCTGGGGTCCCCTCTCTGTGCCTCGCTGCCCCTGCCTGCCCCGTGCCTCAGTTTCCCGGTGGGCAGTGCCCGGGGCGGGGCGGGGGGTGCCCTGTGCTGACCCCCCCGCCCCTCCCCAGTTTTCTGCCGCGTGTACCTGCCCGACCACTCGTACGTGACCATCCGCAGCCGCCTCTCGGCCTCGGTGCAGGACATCCTGGCCTCGGTCACCGAGAAGCTCCAGTACTCGGAGGAGCAGAGCACCCGCGAGGACGCCCTGATCCTCGTCACCATGGCCTCGTCCGGAGGTGCCCGAGGGGCTGGGGGAGGGCTGTGGGCAGGGCTGGGGGGTCCCACAGGTGCTGACCCCCCTCCTGTGCCCCATGGCAGAGAAAGCGGTGCTGCAGCCCAGCGAGGAGTGTGTGTTCACCACCCTGGGCATCAACAGCCACCTCTTCGCCTGCACCAGGGACACCTTCGACTCCCTGGTGAGCTCTGCGGTGGGGACACCCTGATGGGGACCCCCAAGAGAGAACCCCCTGCCAGGGACATCCCCCCCCTCACCTGCCCAGCCCTGGTGCCACAATCACTCCCTGTGCAGAAAGGGGGGGACCCCTGTGCTCCACCCCATTTCCCCACCCCATTTCTCTGTCCCATGTTCCCATGTCCCCACCCCATTTCCCTGTCCCATATTCCTATCCCATTTTCCCACCCTGTGGCCCAGCACCCCCTGAGTGTCCCCATAACCTTGTGTCCCCCCCCCTCAGGTGCCGCTGCCCGAGGAGATCCAGGTGGTCCCGGGGGACACGGAGATCCACCGCGTGGAGCCCGAGGACGTGGCCAACCACCTCACTGCCTTCCACTGGGAGCTCTTCCGCTGCATCCACGAGGTCTGGGGGGGCCACGGGGGGGGGGGGCTCGGTGTGTGGACACTGCTGTGTGTGTGCGTGGGGCTCTGGTGCCACGTGTGTAACTCCCCCCCCCCCCCCGCCCCTCCCTGCAGCTGGAATTCGTGGATTACGTGTTCCACGGGGAGCGGGGCCGGCGGGAGACGGCGAACCTGGAGCTGCTGCTGCAGCGCTGCAGTGAAGTGCAGCACTGGGTGGGCACGGAGCTGCTGCTCTGCGAGGGGCTGGGCAAGCGCGCCCACCTGCTCAAGAAGCTCATCAAGATCGCTGCCATGTGAGTGAGGGGGCCAGGGTGGGGGGCTCCCGGGGGTGCCCAGCCTGCCCCTCACGCTCTCTCCCCCCCCCCCGCCACAGCTGCAAACAGAACCAGGACATGCTCTCCTTCTACGCCATCGTCATCGGCCTCAACAACGCCGCCGTCAGCCGCCTGCGCCTCACCTGGGAGGTGAGGGGCTGGGGGGCCCTCACCCCCCCCCAGCGCTCCCTGACCCCCCCTGGTGCTCTTAGACCCCCGCAGATGCTCCCAGACCTTCCTGGGCCTTCCTGGACCCCCCAAGTGCTCCCTGACTCTTTCCTCAGTGCTCCCAGAACCCCCCAGAAGCTCTCACCTCCCCTGCCCAGTGTTCCCAGACTCCCTCTGGTTGCTCCCAAAACCCCTCTGGATGCTCACTGACACTCCCTAGTGCTCCCAGACATCCCCAGGTGCTCGCAGAACCCCCTGGATGTTCCCAGATCCACCCTGGGTGCTCCCAGACCCCTCCTTGTGTGCTCCCAGAACCCCCCAGGAGTTCTCACCCCCCAATCCAGTGCTCCCAGGACTCCTCTGGGTGCTCCCACACCTTCCCAAACTTTCCTGGGCCTTCCTGGACCCCCCCCAGGTGCTCCCAGACCCTTTCCTGGGTGCTCATGGCCTGCCGCTGGCTGCTCCTGGACCCCTCCTGGGTTCTCCCAGACCCCCTCTGGGGTGTTCCTGGACCTCCCAGGTGCTCCCTGACCCGGTGGATCCTCATGTCCCCCCTCAATTTGTCTTCCAGAAGCTCCCAGGGAAATTCAAGAACCTGTTTCGGAAGTTTGAGAACCTCACGGTGAGAAACGTCGGGGCCCCGTGGGGGTTGGGGGGTCCCCAGAACCCCCCCCAGGGTATTTGGGGAGCTGGTGGGCAGGGAACTTTCCTGGGGTGTCCAGGGAACTTTCCTGGGGTGTCTAGGGGTGTTCTTACCACCACCCCCACTACCAGCCCCGTGCCCACGGCCACCAGCGTGGGGGGAGATCCAGGGAACCCCCAGGGAGCCCCCCAAACCCTGACACCCCCCCCCTTCTTGTCCCCCCAGGATCCCTGCAGGAACCACAAGACCTACCGGGAGGTGCTGGCCAAGATGAAGCCCCCCCTGATCCCCTTCGTGCCGCTCATCCTCAAAGGTGAGGAAGGGGCTCCCCGTGTCCCACAGGGGGTCAGGGTCCTGCTGAGACCCCACGGGACCCCCCCTAACCCCCCTTCACCCCCCAGATCTGACCTTCCTGCACGAAGGCAGCAAGACCCTCCTGGACGGGCTGGTCAACGTGGAGAAACTGGTGGGTGCTTGGGGGGGGCTGAGAGACCCCTGGGGTGAGGGCAGTGGAGGGAGGACCCCCCTGAGGGGCTGGGGATCCCCTGCCTGTGTGTGGGGGGTGAGGGTTCAGCATCCCCAGGGTGCAGAGCAGGACCCCCGGGGGTGGGGTCCCTGATGGTGGGGGGTTGTGCAGGAGGTCCTGGGGGGGTCGGTCGTCCCTAGGGGGGGTCAGTGGTCCCTAGGGGGGGGTCAGTGGTCCCTGGGGGGGCCGGTGCTGACTCTGGGGGTCTCTCTCTGCCCAGCACTGCATCGCTGAGAAAGTGAGAACCGTGAGGAAGTACCGGAGCCGCCCCCTCTGTGAGTGGGGGGCACATGGGGGTCCGGGGGGGGGAAGGAGGGTGTCCCACACAGCCCTGAACCCTCAGTGCTGCCCCTGAGGGACAGGGGTGTGGCTGCACCCCCATCTGCATCCTCACACCCCATTATCCATGTCCTGCACCCCTTCACCCCTGCATCCCCGAATCCCTGTGTCTGCATCCCTTCATCCCCACCCCTCTATCCCTTCATCCCTGTCCCCACATCCACGTTCCCATGTTTCTGTTACTGTGTCATCCCTTCATCCCCATCCCTATCTCTGCATCCTCATCCCATCCATCCCCACATCCCCATTCCCACATCCTTGTCCTGGAATCTTTTCATCCCCACTCCCCCATCCCTCCGTCCCCATCCCTGCCTTCCCACTCCCCATCCCCATTCCCGCACGGCCATCCCTGTATTGTTTTATCCCCGTCCCCTACACTCACACGTTGCCATCCCTGAATTCCCTGCATCCTTCCATCCCTGTCCCTCCATCCCCATTCCCACACTGACATCCCCGTTTCCTTTCATCCCCATCCCCTTCATCCCTTTATCCCCGTTCCCAAATTGCCACCTTGCATCTTTTCACCCCCATCCCTCCAACCCCTGCATCCCCGCGCTCCTCCATCGCTGTTCCCACCCCATTCCCATTCCCGTTCTTGTTCCCGTTCCCAGGCCTGGAGCTGGAGGCGTCCCCAGCCCAGCTGCAAACCAAGGCCTACGTGCGGCAGCTGCGGGTCATCGACAACCAGAACCTGCTCTTCGAGCTCTCCTACAAACTGGAGCCCGGCAGCCAGTGAGGGGGGGCCCACTGGGGACCCCCAAACCCTGAGGACCCCCCAGGCCCCGGGACCTCCCACTCCGGGGGGCCCGGTGCCCCCCAGCACTGACGCACTTTGCCCAGCCCCGACAGCGGGTGCTGCCCCCACCCTCGGGGGGGTGGGTGGGTTTGGGGACCCCCGGCACATACCCCCCCCTCCCCGGTGCCCCCCTTCCCTGGCGGGGGGCACAGGGACCTACGGGGGGGCCCCTCGCCCCCCTATTTTTGTATGTGCCCCCCGCCCCCCCAGACGTGTATATTTTGTACTGAGCGCTGTCCGGAATTGTACATTTATTTTTTAAGAAAAAGGAGGAAAAAAAGGAAAAAAAAAACCAAACAACAACAAAACCCCAACAAAACAGGCCGGGGGGGGTGGGGAGCCCCAATAAACGTCTGTCCCGGCGCCCGACTCTGATGTCATGCGAGGGACTGAATTCGTGCTGGGGAGTGACGTCACAGCATATTGCCGGTGACGTCACAGTTCCGGAACTGACAAGCTGGCTCGACCTTCCCAAGATGGGGGCGGCGCGGGAGCTCTCGGTGACCTTACCAATATGGCGGCGTCCAGCATCGTCCACTGACCTTCTGAACATGGCGGCCGCCAGGGTTCCGTGTGCCCTTCTCAATATGGCGGAGCTGGCGGCGTAGCCGCGCTCAGTCGCCGCATCTCGGTCCTGCAGCGGCGGCTTGGCACGGAGCGGGAAAACCCTTCTCGGTGGCACCGCTCTCCCTCCGGTCACTGGCGCGCGGCGGCACCGGACGCTCCAGCTGCAGCCTTGACCTTCCCAAGATGGCGGCCCCTCCGCCCAAGGCCTCCCGACCTCCCCATCATGGCGCCGAGGCCCCGCCGTGCCCTGCCCACATCCTGTTGTGTCGCGCAGGCGCAGAGCGGCCGCGGCCGCCATTTCGTTCGGCGGTGCCGGGGCCGGGTACGGGAGCGGCGGGAGGAGCCGCGGGTGAGCGGGGAGGGCCCGGGGGGAGCGGGGGGCCAGGCCGGGGCTCAGGGGGCCGCGGGGAGCCGGAGCTGCGGGCCGCGGGGCCGCTGTGAGGGGTGTGGTGGCTCGCGGTGGGTGTGTGGGGCCTGTGCGGAGCCCGGGCCCGGTGAGGCCTCCGCGGGGTCCGGGTGGTGTCCGGGCCGGCTGAGGGGTCCCCAGGGCCGGCTGAGGGGTCCCCGGACTTGCTGTGGAGTGTTAGGAACCGGCGGGACTGGGGGACTAGAGCCGCCACACAGATCCCCTGTTCCGCTCCACCCTGACCCCTGTGGGACCCCCAGACTGACCCTCTGGGTCACCTCAGGAGCCCCTCGCCAGGACCCCCCGGGCCCCAACCTGGGGCTGCCCGGAACCGGTGGGGTCGGGGGCTGAAATCTCAATCGTGGACCCCTTCACGTTGCCCCCTCCCTGGGTGTCCTTTGGGACCCCCACACTGACGCCCTGGACTCATCCAGTCTTACCCCTGGGTCACCTCAGGGACCCCTCCTCAGGACCCCCATGATCCCTCGCTATGACACCTGGGATGCCCAAAACGGATGCCCTTGACCCCTTCACCCTAACCCCTGGGTCACCTCAGGGACCCCTCCCCAGGACCCCCCTGTATCCCCCTCTCAGATTGCCCGGGACCTCCACTGTGACCCCCTCTGGGACCCTCACACTGACCCCCTGGACCTCCACCCTCGAGGTGTCTGGGACCCCCGCTATGACCCCTGGGACCCCCACACTGACCCCCTTGGCCCTTCCACCCTTCCCTGGACCCCCACCCTGGGGATGCCCAGAACCAGCAGGACCAGGGGCTTAGGACCTCCACCTTGGGACCCCCAACACTGACCCCTGGAATTACCCTGGGACCCCCACTATGACCCCCTGGGCTCCTCCACCCTTCCCTGGACCCCCACCCTGAGGTTGGGCTGGGGCCTTTCTGGAGAGGGGGGTACAGCAGAAGGATGGGGAGGGGTCTGTGGCCCGTGGTGGCTCAGGGATGACCGTGGGCACAGAGTGTCACGGAATCATGGAATCGTTTGGGTTGGAAGGGACCTTAAATGCCATCCAGTGCCACCCCCTGCCATGGGCAGGGACACCTTCTGCTATCCCAGGTTGCTCCTAGCCCCGTCCAACCTTGCCTTGGACACTTCCAGGGATGGGGCAGCCACAGGGAAACACATCCATGGCTCCCTGCTCCCGGTCCGACGGCCTTCCCGCCCACGATGCCGAAGGCAGCGTGGGCGGGAAGGCCGGTGGACCGGGAGCACGCACCCGCTGTGGGATCACATTCCATCGGGATAACCCCGTTGGGATCACACTCTGCCAGTCAGCGGTTCCTGCCTGGCCCCATCATGTCCCACCTCTCCCTTCCCAGCTTCCTTTCCCTTCCCGGGAAAGGGGAGAGGCAGGGAAGGCTGTGGGCCTGGCGGGACGGGCTTTTCCTGCTTTTCCCTTTGGTGCAGCCGAGTTTCAGGACGTGATTCCCTTGCTCCTGATTAAAGGTTTCCTCTGGCAAGTGACCTGAGATGAGCTCGGAGGAAGGGATGAGCCTGACTTGAGGGTTCTGTGGCTGGGAATGGGAAAGCCTGGGATGGGGCTGTGGAAGCTGGGGATGGGGTAACTGAGGATGTGGAAGCTTGGAAAGGAGAAACTGAGGCTGTGGAAGCTGGGAATGGGCAGTCAGAGACTGTGGAAGTTATGGATAGGGAAACAGGCTGGAAGCTGGGAATGGAGAAACTGAGGCTCTGGAAGCTTGGGAAAGGGAAACAGGCTGGAAGCTGGGAATGGGGAAGCAGGGTGTGGAAATTGTGGATAGGGAAACAGGCTGGAAGCTGGGAATGGAGAAACTGAGGCTCTGGAAGCTTGGGAAAGGGAAACGGGCTGGAAGCTGGGAATGGGGAAACTGAGGCTGTGGAAATGGAGGCTGTGGAAGCTGCGAGTGGGGAAACTGAGGCTGTGGAACCCACCCCTGAGGAATGAGAAACTCCAGAGTTGGGGGTTTTGGTAAAAACGCCTCGTCAGAGCCCGCGCGGGTCGTTAATAATTCACAGGGAGCGTCTGGATCCCGCGGGGCCGGAGCGTGTCCGTCTGTCTGCAGGCAGGGATGCGCCGCCTCGGCGGGATGCTCCAAATGGAGCTGGCAGCTCGCGCTCGGGAAGCATGCTGATAGGATTTTAAAAGCCTGAGTGACCTTAAATCCTGCGATGGCTGTCGCTCAGGATAAATTATTTATGTGGCATCTTCAGCTCCGCGGGAGCGGGCAGGAATGTCGGGCTGCGGGGACAGGCTCGGAATTTGGGAGGGGGTAGCGAGGAGCTGCGGGTTTGGATGGGAAGAGGGGGAAGATAAAGGCGCGGGGGCGGGCGTTGGAGAGGTCCAGCCTTGGAAGTCGTTCCCAAACCGGTGCGGCCGCATTTCTGCACCGACATCAGAGGCTGGAAATTCCTCTTGATCTGCAGTTCAAAGCCTCCCTGAGGATGAGGCGCTGCAGCTCGGGCTTGCAAATGAGAAATACAAATCCGCCCCGGAGCCCAAATCCCCCTGAAAAGCGAGGAAATAGGCGGCTGAAGGTCACTGCTGCCTGTCCTGCCCCAGCAGCAATCCCCCGGGATGAGCTGGATCGGGGCTGCTGCTGCTGGGGAGGGCGTTTTAAATCCCTCCACGGCAAACGGGGACTTGAAAAACACCTGGAAAACGTGGTGTGTCACCCTGGCCGGGCTGGATCTACCTAATCCAGCTGTTTTAGGGGACAAGGGGCAGCTGAATGACAAATTCTTGGGATTTAATGGTGTTTTGATTCCAGAGGTGACAGGGAGGTGCTGATCCAAAATGCTGCCGAGGGGTCTGTGGCTGTGGTGGGCTCAGCTCTGGAAGCAGCTTTCCTCAGGGTCACCTCAATCTCCTGATCTCTCTCTCCTCCCAGGGGACAGCTTTTCACACCTTGTTTTCCTCACACTTTGCTCAGAGCTCTCCTGGGGTTTGGTTTGGATTGGAAAAGCAAAGGCACTGTGCAAACCTGCCCCTCCTGCCTCAGCCCAGCTTTGATCTGCGGGTGTCTCTGGATTCTACTCTGCCCAACCACTTTCCCTGTGAGCAGTGGGAGCTCTCGCAGGCTCCGATGTGTCTTGGTGTGAAAGGATCCTGGTAAGGAAGAACAAAGGAGAAGTTGGAGCGTTGTTTCACAGGGATGGCTTCTGCCAGGCAGGAAGGGGTGCCGAGTAGTGCTGGGAGGAGAACTCCCCCCTTTTCTCTTTTCCTGGAGGATTTAGCTTGTGTCTCCCTAATCTGTATCAGCTGGGTCTGTCTTCTTGCACATGAAAGGTCCAGGCTGTATTTCAAAGGCAGCCTTCCCACCCGGAGCTCTCAGCTTTTCCCAGCCATGTGCCGAGTTCGGGGCCTCTCGATTTTGGTTTTTCAAAGTGACCTTTGCTGTTAATCCCCAGCCCTAACGGGGCCGTGTGCTCAAACGGAATGACCTGTTTCTCGGGAATTCAGCTCCAGTTTATCCTCAAGCTGCTTTAACTTAAACTCTTCCCTCCCCTTCTCTTGCTCTTCTAGGTCAGAGCCTGGATCTGAGCGCAGGTTTTGCTGTGAGGGCACCCTAAAAATGGGGAGATGGTGACTCGTGGTCTGTTTGGAGAAATACCCCCCTCGTCCTACAAGTCCCGTGGGATTGCCCCTGTGGGATTGTCCTTGTGGGATTGTTTGGAGCCGCTCCACTTATCACAGGGTGTCTGGGGGTCAGCAGGGCACACGGGGGAACCTTGTGACCAACCGCTGTCTGTCTGTCTGTGGGATGGTGTGTCCCTGTCACAGCGGCTCCCGTGACCCCAAGTGCCACCGAGGGAAGTGTCACCCTGGGAGTAACCAGCTGGAGCAGGGACGTGATGTGTGACTTTCCCGTGGGTTGGGAGCGGAGGTGACGGCCCTGGCACAGCTCCTGTGCTGGCTCAGGGCTGTGACACACGAGCCCGAGTCAGGAGTCTCATTACCTGGCGCTGAATCCGTGCTAATTCCCTCCGGCAGCTGATCCGGCACCGCTGGGGCTCTGCCCCGGAGCAGCTCGTGCCGTCCCGGCCCCACTGCGGGCTGGGAAGGAGCACAGGGAAAAGCATTCCTGTTCCAACTCGTCCCAGACAAGCACATTCGGAGCCGTCTGTGATCCTGCTCCGGTGGGAAAGGCACAGGCTGGATGTGTTTGCCGGGCGTCATTCCTGATTCTGGAGCGTCCGGAGGGATTGGGGGATGTTGGCTCTTGGGTGTGAGGCCTCGAGCTGGGACTTGACAGTGGAGGGCACTTCCACCAGGAAACTGGGAGCCTCAGGTGACTCGGAAAATGCAGGAGATAGAGGGAGGAAGGCCTTCCCGACAAGGCTGTAGCTGAGGAATTCTCACTGGGTAGAAGGGCTGATTTTAATTAAAAGGCAGTTTATGGATTTATTTATTTCCCTGAACCACGGAGCTGGTGGTTTCCCGAGGGCAGGGGAGCCACTGGTATCACAGCTGTGCCGCTGCTCCGTGCTTCCCGTTCTCACATCTCGGGAATGTCTGACAGGTGAGGATGGACCTGTGTCCCATGGGATCAGTAAATTGTAGTTTATCCAGCAGGATATGAGTCTGATGAGGGATTTGGTTGTTAATACTTGGTGCAAACCTGGGTCACAAAGGAACTTTCACAGGGACAGGGGCTGTTCCTGTGCCCTCTGTCACTGCCCTCGGGGTCAGAAATGGGAAGTTTCAGGTGTGAAACTGCCCTGTCCTTGCCTCCTGTTGGCATTATGGTCCCTGTTAGTGACTGTGGAATAGGTTTTCCTGAGGGAAGGATGTCTGTGGCCCAGAGAGGGACATTTGTCCCCTGCCTCTGGGTCTGCCCCAAGCACCTGGGACTCTGCATGTGGGGCCTCCAGTCACCACATTCCTATTCCCTGAGCCGGTGCTGCAGGACAGCCCTACCTGAGCACTGTTGTCAGCAGCACGAGTCTGCCAGGGAACTGTGACTTCCCGGTGATTCAGGCTCCTCTTCCTGTCCCCCCCTCCCTCTGTGCTCCGTCTCCGGTGCCAAACGGAGCTGCCGGGCCCCAGGAGCTGTTCCAGGGGAGCCGCGGTGCTGGACAGGTTTGTTTTGGGCTCGTGATGAGATGGGTTGGAATGTCATCAGATCCATGTTGGGAAAGCTGTTTTCCCTGACTGCTTGGAGAGCTTTGGTGGGGGCTTTGGAGCTGTGGGGTACAGAGAGCCTTCAGTGTTGGGAGGTTATTGATGCTGTGGTTGGGAGCCACAGGACAGCCCCGCACTGCTCTGGCTGCTCCAGAGACGGAGCCGTCTGGCAGATTTACCCTGGCTGTGGCCGGAGAGGCCCCGGGGCTGTGTGCCAGGGCTGGCTGTGCCTCCTGCAGGCTCCTGTCACATTCCCACGTGAGCATTCTCTGGCTGCAGCTGGAGGAGCTGGATGGATGGTGCTGGAGCAGCTTGGCTGGGTTTTCTCTGCTGAGCGAGGTGCTCGTGCTCGTGTGCTGGGTGTCATCTCCAGGCACTCCGGGGGCCCTGGGGATTTGGGGTGGGGATGTGCTGTCCCACTTCTGGGACCTGCTGCTCCAGGGTGTTGGGAGGACGTGGGAGCTCAGATCCAGCTGCTGCTCCACAGAAGCTCCAGCTCAGCACCAGCACAGCGCCCCGGGGCCGTGTTTCTCCACAGGCTTTCCCCTCCATTCCCTGACCGCTTCCTCCCTTCCTGCAGGCATGAGTGCCCAGGCCTGCCCCCAGCACTGAGCAACCAGAGCCGCCGGGAGCCAGGCCAGGATGCCGATCCCTCCTCCCCCGCCGCCGCCCCCCGGCCCCCCGCCGCCCCCCACCCTCGGTCAGGTAGGGGTCACCTTGTGACAGGTGGGGAAGTGGCCTGTCCCCTCATGGGGCCACTTGCCAGAGGAATTGGCCCTGGAGAAGGCTGGCTGTGTGTGCCTCGGGAGGTGGGAATGTGGAGCGGGGCTGTGCCTGTGCCGTGGGTCGGGGTGTCCGGGGCAGGTGCTGAGCTGCTGCTCGTCCCCAGGCGAACACGGAGCCGCCCAAGCTGAGCCGGGAGGAGCAGCGGGGCCGTGGGGCCCTCCTGCAGGACATCTGTAAAGGGACCAAGCTCAGGAAAGTGACCCAAATCAACGACCGGAGCGCGCCCATCCTCGAGAGTGAGTCCCCGGGGGGCTCCCGGCCCCGTGCCGGCTGCTGCTGTGCCCAGCAGGGCTCTCACCCATCTGGTTCCCAGCAGCTCCTCATTGGAGGAGCGGATAATTCCAGGCTTAACCTCTCTGCCTCCCTCCTTCCAGAGCCCAAGGGCAGTGGCGGTGGCAACTACAGCTCTGGCTCAGCCGCCATCCAGCCCAAGGGTGGCCTATTCCAAGGTGGCGTTCCCAAGCTCAGACCTGTGGGAGCCAAGGACAGCTCAGGTAACAGCCATGTGCCCGTGGTCTGCGTGGGGTTCCTGGGAGGGCCTGGAGCAGGAGGGGGTCGAGGGTCTTGCCGTGCTTCCCTGGGAGTTTCAGCTGGTCAGAGGCAGGACCCCAGGTCACACCCCCTGTGTGGCACAGGCTGGCTGTGCCCTCCCCATGGCACAGTGTCCCACTCATGGACCTCTCGTAGCGCGCAGGAGCCGCGTGTGTTGCTGAATGTTTCTCTCTGGTGTTCTCTGTGGTGATCAAAGAGTAGAGTGGTGAGAGAGGAGCCGTGTGTGTGGCTGTGCTCGCTGCCAGCTCCCTGCCTGTGCCAGACATCTGTGTGGCCTGGCCCTCCTCGGCCGCGGCTCTGCGCAGGGACAAGGCACGGAGCCACTCCTGTGCCATTCCTGACCCCTCACTGTGCTCTCCTTCCCCACAGACAGCTCCCCCAAACAGACCCTGCGAGCCCCCTCACTGTGCTCTCCTTCCCCACAGACAGCTCCCCCAAACAGACCCTGCGAGCCCCCTCACTGTGCTCTCCTTCCCCACAGACAGCTCCCCCAAACAGACCCTGCGAGCCCCCTCACTGTGCTCTCCTTCCCCACAGACAGCTCCACCAAACAGACCCTGCAAGTGCCCGGCTCCCGTGGAGCTGCCCCCAGGCCCCCGGTGCCGGCCAGCAACAGCCGCCCTCAGGACGATGCCGACAGCAGCCGGGGGTCCCCGCCGGAGCTGCCGCGCACGCAGAGACCCTCCCTGCCCGACCTGTCCCGGCCCGGCACCGCCGGCAGCACCGGCATGAAGCACAGCTCCTCGGCCCCGCCGCCCCCGCCACCGGGACGCCGCGCCGCTGCCCCCCCGGCCCCCCCTCCGGCGCACGCCAAGGCCTCGCCCTACAACCGGGAGAAGCCACTGCCGCCCACCCCGGGACAGCGCCCACCCGGCAGCAGGGACGGACCCCCCGCCCCGCCACCCATCAAGCCCCCTCCCTCCCCAGTCAGCCTCCGGACGGGGTCGGGGGCTCAGGGCCAGTCTCTTGCCCCCCCGCCGCCCCCTTACCGGCAACCGCCCGGTGTCCCCAACGGCCCCTCCAGCCCCGGCAGCGAGTTGGCCCCGGAGCTGCCGCAGAGACACAACTCCTTGCACAGGAAGGCACCGGGCCCGTTGCGGGGTCTGGCCCCCCCGCCGCCCACTGCTGCCTCCCCATCCCTGCAGAGCAGCCGCCCCCCCCCACCGGCCAGAGACCCCCCGAGCCGCGGAGCAGGTAAGAGCTGTTTGCTCCATGGTGCCCGGGGTGGGCTGTGGGGGTCTCTCGGTGGTTGGGGGCTTGTGAGAGGTGAGTGGGAAGAGTCAGCTCTGAGGCACAGTGAGGTTCCACAGAAAGGTTGATTAAACATTGGAAGCGACTGCCCAGGGAGGTGGAGTCACCATCCCTGAAGGTGTTCAGGGAGTCGTGACACTCAGTGCCCTGGTCTGGTTGACAAGGTGGGGATTGATCACAGGTTGGACTCAATGATCTTGGAGGTGTTTTCCAGCCTAAGTGAGTCTGTGATTCTGCTCATGGTGTAGGGGCTGAGCAGGGCAGTGGCTGCAGTGTCATGTTTAACACATGTCCTTGGTCATGTCCCATGCCCATCCAGCTCCTCCCAGCCTGATGGTGGTGGTGGGTTTTGTCTGGGCAGCTCCTGCCCGCGAGGTCCATGTGCTTTCCTGGGGTGGGAGGTGAGAACATGGCAGAGCCAGAGCTGCATAGTCTGTCTCTGCTCCCCTGAGCTTCTGAAATGTCGCTGGGGGGATGACAAAAAGCTGTGGCAGAGCAGGGAGAAGCCTTTCCTGTGGTGGTGCAGCCCTCGAGAGCGTGTCCCCGTGGCCGGGGCTGGCGCTGGCTGTGCCCTGGTGCCCCCCCGTGCGCTCCTGGGCTCCGTGTCCAGACCGCAGCTCCCGCCTGGGCCCTGGCCAAGCCGCTCTGTCCTCCCAGCCCTGCCAGAATCCCTCCTTGGAGCTACGGCTGGGGAGCTGCGCTGTCAGCCCAGCTGTAATTAGGCTAATGAGGAGCACGAACTGCCACCGAGCCTCTGCGGGAGGCTGGGCAGGAGCGAGAGGTGGGTCAGAGGGGCCGGGGGTCCTGTCACCGCCTCGGTGGCACTGCAGACGTGGCCTCCAGCCCTGGCAGGCAGCGTCTTGGCTCCACGGGGAGCTGCTGCCCTCAGACTCTGGGATGTGCTGGCTCATAGCTGCTCCTTGGATCCCCTCCGTGGAGGGATGTGTGCCCAGCATGGGCTGGGAATGTGCAGGGCCAGAGCAGCCCCCCATGGTGGGTGGTGAGCTGGGGGGGCACCGGGCTGGCCGGTCTCTGCCCTGCAGCTGCTGGAGGAATGAGGAATGCAGATGTCAGGAGCGAGCAGGAAATCTCTGGGCACGCGTAGGAGCATCCCTGGGCCGCGGTCTGGCCCAGCCGATGGCCTGGAATGCTCCAGGGGATGTCCTTGGGTTTGCCCCAGGAATGCCGCATTTGCTGACCCCGCTCTCCCTGCAGCGCCCCCGCCCCCCCCGCCGATGCTGCGGAACGGGGGGCGCGATGCCCCCCCGCCCCCGCCCCCCTACAGACTGCACGGCCCCGCCGAGCCCCCCAGCCGGGGGAAGCCCCCGCCGCCGCCCACCAGGACCCCGGCTGGGCCGCCGCCGCCGCCACCGCCCGTGCGGAACGGGCACCGCGACTCCATCTCCACCGTCAGAGCATTCCTGGGTGAGTGGGACCCCTGCATGGATCCCCCTTGGAGCAGAGCCCTGTGGCTTTGGCCAGGCTCTCCTAGAGTCCCCCTCCCTCACCTGCCTCTTCTGCCCCTTTTCCACAGATGACTTTGAATCCAAATACTCCTTTCATCCCGTTGAAGACTTCCCAGCCCCAGAGGAATATAAGTACTTCCAGAGAATCTACCCCAGCAAAACAAACAGAGGTGAGGAGGATGGGGGGGTGCATGTGAGGAGGAGTAGGGGGTGTCCTGCAGTACCTGTCCCTTCCTGTGCCCTTGGGGTCATGTCTGTCCCCGTGCAGGGTGAATGGTGCAGTGGCCTTGCCCCAGGCCCTGCCCATGTTCCTGGGAGTGCCAAGCCCCTTTCCTGGGGGTGCTGAGCTCCGAGGGCAGCTCGCTGTGCTTCAGGGGAAGGGGGGGCTGGGAATTTGGGCTGTGTAGATGTCCCATCCCACCTACTGGGAAATGCCGCAGGGCTCGTTCCTGCTTTCATTGGTGCCAGAGGGGGATCCTGAAGGACCCTGCGGCCGGAGCTGGGGCTGGACAGGGGCCGGAGAGCGCAGCCCCTCTGTGTATCCTGGGATTGGCCCTGAGCGCCGGCGCTTGGACCCGGCAGAGCTCAAAGTGCCCTTGGTGCCGCGCGTCAGCGCTGCGGATCCCGGCGGAGACTCCGGGGAGAATGGGATGCTCGTTTATTTTTAGAGCCATGAATGTTTAATGCGGGTTTGAAAAGCCCCGAGCTCGGTGCGGCTGCTGCCAGGCGCAAATCCCAGGCTCCAGATCTCCGCGGGGAGGTCGGGGAGGGAGGGGGGGCCAGCAGCTGGCGCGGGGGTGTGGAGGAGGGAAAGCAGACGTGCCGGATCCGGCTCTGCGGAGCTCCCGCTTCCATCCTCCTTCCTTGTCTTGCAGCTACACGTGGGGCCCCCCCTCTGCCCCCCATCCCCAGGTGAAACCGGGCTGTGCAGGTGGATTGTTCCGGAGCAGACACACGGACCTCCTTCCCCTCCCTCAGCTGGCCCCCCCAGCTCCCAGCCCCCCGGATCCTGCATGGCACACTCCCGGCCTCTCTGCCTTCCCCAGGACCAGCGGATCTGCCCAGCACCCTCCATCAGCCTCCCCCTCATCTATGCACCCCTCAGGACTCATGGCAAGCCTGGATGGGTCCATCCCTTGTTCCTCCTCATGGATCCCGGGCCAGGATCAGCCTGGGAGCCGGGCACGGGACTCTGGGCTGAGCCGTGTGCCGGCTGTGGGGATCAGGGGGGCTGGTGGAGAGGGGCTGTGGATGGACATACTGCGAGACCCCCGGAGCGAGGGGGAGCAGGGCCAGGCTGGGGGAGCCTCGTTATCCCTGGAGAGCCTCATTATCCCAGTGGAACCTCATTATCCTGGGAGAGCCTTGTTATCCCAGCACAGCCCATTGCTTTTTTGCACAGGAGCCAGTAGGGGAGGGGGGTGAGTGGGACCATCCAGGGAGACCCCGACAGCGCTGGGTGAGGGGGAACCCCATCCCTGTCCCCTCTAAAACCGGCACTTCCCCCCTGGGCTGGGATGGGGGGCGTGGGGTCCTCTCGGCTTTCACCGCTGAACCCCCGAACTCGAGCATTTTAACAAGAAAACACTAATTATCTGGGGAGGAACCGGGGGGGGGGGCGTTTGTGCTGGTTCTGACACGTCAGGGGGCACATGGGGGGGGCCCTGGGGGAGCCAGTGACGTTTTGCCTTATACACTCCCTGTCCGACGGGTGGTCCCGGCCGGACTCTCCGTGTTCCCGCGGGGGGGGTCACACTAACGTAGTTACTGATCTCTTTGTACCTGTCAAGCGCCGTAGGAGGAAAGTGGCGGGGGCTGCAGGGAGGCTGCACCTCCCCCAGAACGGTTTGGGGTTGATTTGGGTGTTTGGTTTTTTTTTTCTATGACGATGGACCTTTCCCTGTTGGGGTTGGAGAAATGCGGGTGAAGGGTGAGGGGTGTTTGGGGGGGTTTTCTGGAGGATGACCCCCCTCAGCATTGCCCTTTGGGTTAAATAAAGGGTCAACATGGTTCTGCCCCTCCTGGAGCGAGGGACCCTCCTAAGAGGGAACAGAGGGAATTGGAGGAGCTGGAAATTGCATTTAAATAAAAGTAATAAAGTGATAAATGATGTCAAGGGCACTGCCTGGGGGGAGGGTGCTGGAGAAGGGGGGGTACCCAGGGACCCCTCTTGTCTCTTGAGGGGGTGATGGCCCCAGGGGCTGCGGGTAGGGCATTCTGTCTGCAGCCGGGCTGGTACTGGGAGTGCTGGGAGGCAGGGTGGAGGGTACTGGTGGCAGTGGGACCACTGGGAAGACAGGACCGTGGGCTCTGGGAGCATGGGGAGGCGGGATTGCATGGTGTGGGAGCATGGCGAGGTGGGATTGGACGGGTACGGGAACTGGGAGCACAGGAAAGTGGGAAGGGGGAGATACTGGGAGTGCTGGGAGGCAGGGTGGAGAGTGCTGGGAGAAGGGTGGGGCAGGACTGGGTGGCAGTAGGAAGGCAGGATGAGGGATAGTGGTGGCACTGGGAAGGCAGGATGGGGGATGCAGGCACTGGGAGCACGCGGGGGCGGGCTGGGGGTTACTGGGAGCGCCGGTCCCGTCCGGACTACAGCTCCCAGCATGCTCCGCGCGCCTTCCGCCATGTCTCGGGCACGCTCGCTGATTGGCTGCTCTGTTGCGATCCGTCCTCCGGACGCGGCGATTGGCGGTGGCGGCGGCAGCGCAGCCAATGGGGAGGAAGGGGCGAGGCCAGCTCGGGCTGGTGGCGCGAACTGCGGAGCCGGGGCTGATTTGGCGCGAGAAGGTCGGTGGTGGCAGAGGGGGGGACACGGGAGGTCAGGGGGGACACGAGGGATCGGGGGGGACTCTGGGGGTCGGGGGGGCTCCGGGTCGTGCCGGGGGGTACGGGGGCGGAAATAGGGGACAGGGCCGGTGTGGGATGGGCTGGGGGGGGGCCCGGGAGCCGCGGGGCTGGGAGTCCCCCCCGTCTGACCGGGGTCCCCCCCGCCTGACCGCTGTCTCCCTCCCCCTGCAGCCTCCGCCATGAACAGCCGCAGCCCGCAGAGCCAGCCCACCATCGGCTTCCCCCGCACGAGGAGCGCCCGCCGCCTCGGGGCCACCCCCCCGGCCAAGAGCGACCCCGGCCCTTCGCCGCGCCCCAAGGCCTCGGGCTCCCCCGGCCAGGCCACCCCGAGCACATGTTCGGCCCGGGCCACAGCGCAGCCCTTGAGCCCCAAAGTACAGCCCCTGAGTCCCCGCAAGCGCCTGGGTGAGTTCCCCCTCTGCCCTAGGACCCCCCGGGAATGGTGGGGGGCCCGTCCCCTCCCCACCCCTGCAGGGTGGGGGTCTCACCCTGGGGCGGTCGAGGCAGGCGGATGGGCTCGGCTCCCACCCCTATCCCTGGCCCAGCTGCGTTTGGCGCTTCACCCCCATTTTGGGAGGAGAAGCTGCTCCCGCGGGGTTTGGGAGGTGATGAAGCACAAAGCCCCCCAGGGAGAGCGGCCCGGTCACCGCTTCCTGTCCCCCTGCAGGTGACGAGAACCTCTGCAACGTCCCCCAGGCCCTGCCCGGCTCCCCGGCCAAGCGCAGCAAGGAGAACCGGGGCCGGCGGCTGCTCTTCGGGGAGACCCCGGCCTCCCCCGAGCAGCCCAAAAGCCCGGGGCCGACCCCGAGGACTGGGGGGCCGGAGACCCCCCGGAGCTCGAGGGTCAATGGGCAGAACCCTCGGACCAGGCTCTTCCGGCAGGAAGGTGAGTGTGGGCAGGGATGGGGGAATGGATGGGGGTAGAACTGGGGAATATGGGGATGGGGATGAGATAGAGTTTGGGACGGGGCATGGGTGTGGGGATAGGGTTGGGGATGGGACGGAGCCAGGGATGAGGATTGAGATGTGTTGATAGAGCCAGGGATGGGGATACAGCTGGAATTGGGATGGAGATAGGGATGGGGTCCTGGCAGCACCATATGCCCCCTGAGCCCTGTCCCTCCCTGTGCAGGTACCTGCTACCAGCAGGCCAAGCAAGTGCTGCATGTGGCCGTGCCTGACCGGCTGCAGGGCCGGGAACGGGAGACTGGGATCCTGCGGCAGTTCCTGCGGGAGCACGTCCGGGGCCACCGACCCGGCAGCCTCTACGTGTCCGGAGCCCCCGGGACCGGGAAAACGGCCTGTCTGAGCCGTGTTCTGCTTGACTGCAAGGTCTGTGCCATGGCCAGGGGGCTGCTCTGGGGGGCTGGACTGGGGGCAGCAGCTCAGGACTGGTGTAACATTCCCATTCCCATCAGGATGAGCTGTCCGGGAGCAAGACCGTGGTGCTGAACTGCATGGCCCTGGGCAGCCCCCACAGTGTGTTCCCTGCCCTGGCACAGCACCTGGGGCTGCCCACGGCCACTGGCCGGGAGCAAATCCGGAGCCTGGAAAAGCATCTGACGGCCCAGGGGCCCATGGTGTGAGTTCCCCATCCCTGGGGGGTGGTGTGGGTTCCCCCTGGATGCTGGGAGAGGTGGCCTGGCAGCAGCTCTCTCTGCTTAGGGTGCTCTGAGGGGAGGGTGGGCAGAGTGGGGACTCATCTGCGCTCCCCCTGCAGGCTCCTGGTGCTGGATGAGCTGGACCAGCTGGAGAGCAAAGGCCAGGACGTGCTCTACACCCTCTTTGAGTGGACCCGGCTGCCCAGCTCCAGGCTCGTCCTCGTGGGTGAGTGTGTGGAGTGTGGCACTGCCCCCTGGGCACCCTCCCTGTTTTGAGGGGGCTGATGGAGGGTTGCCTTTGCGCTCCCCTCCCACTGCCTCCTCGGGTCACAGCCCTCATCCTCCTCCTCTCCTTGCCCTGCAGGGTTGGCCAACGCCCTGGACCTGACGGATCGAAGCCTGGCCAGGCTGGGAGCCCACCTGGCCGGCAGCCCCCGCCTGCTACACTTCCCACCCTACACCAAGGAGCAGCTCACCCGCATCCTGCAGGAGCGGCTGGGGCAGGTGGGGACACGGGGGGACACAAGGGAGACATCGGGGGCTTTGCCATCCTATTGGGGCAGGTGGGGACATGGGGAGGGCATGGGGGGGCTCTGCCTGTGCGGGGGGCAGCACTGATGGCCCCAGTGCCTCGGCAGGTGGCCGGTGACCCCGTCCTGGACGCAGCCGCGCTTCAGTTCTGCGCCCGCAAGGTCTCCGCGGTCTCTGGTGATGCTCGCAAGGCCCTGGATGTCTGCAGGTCAGTGTGTGCCCCAAAACCTGGCAGTGCCAGGGCCAGCATGGCACCTGTGAGCCCCCATGGGTCCCCTGCACCGGGGGTACCTGTGCCAGAGGTGCCTCTGCCCTGTGCTCAGCGCTGTCCCTCCCCAGACGTGCCGTGGAGGTGGTGGAGCTGGAGGTGCGAGGCCAGACCCTGCTCAAGCCGCTGCCCGGGGGTGAGTTGGTGCTGCTGGAGCCAAAACCCTGGGGGAGCACCTCTGGGTTGGCCTTCATTGGGGTCTGGGGTCCCTTTCTGGGACACCTGCTCCCCGCTGCCGCCTCCCTTTCTCACTCCCCTCTCTGTCCCACAGGTGACTCCCCGGTGTCCCCCGTCCCCAAGCGCGTGGGGCTCCTGCACATCTCCCGGGTGCTCTCAGAGGTGTTTGGGGACCGGCTGGCAGGGGGGCCCCAGGGGGCCCAGGACACCTTCCCACTGCAGCAGAAGGTGCTGCTCTGCTCCCTGCTCCTGCTCTCCCGGCACCTGCGCGCCCGTGAAGTCACCCTGGGCAAGGTGAGTGGCAGCAGGACCCTCTCGGGGCTGGATCTGGGCAGCGGGTGGGTGTCCCTGAGGGTCTCCCTGGGGTGTGACTCCAGCACTGTGACACCCCTCTGCCCTCCCCAGCTCCACGACACCTACAGCCAGGTGTGCCGGAGGCAGCAGCTCCCCGCCGTCGACCAGGCCGAGTGTCTGTCCCTTGTCACCCTGCTGGAGTCCCGCGGTGTCCTCGAGCTCAAGAGGGCCAAGGAGGCCCGGCTGGCCAAGGTACCAGGGGGGTGGCAGGGTCTGGTGGTGGGACTGGGGTCCG